TCTATCTATCTATCTATCTATCTATCTATCTATCTATCTATCTATCTATCTATGAACATGTGTCCTGACTGTTACACTGTAAATTAAATAAGAAAGGAATAGTATTCTACCTATAATGTCATAGCTTTATAAACAAAAACAATTCTGTTGCCATGGTTCCTTCTAGTTACACAGATCATTAAACACCTTAAAATATACACTTTAAAAATGTGTGTAAAAGCAACAAAAGCTTTATTGAACTTTTCTATTATTTTAAGAGGCAAAACCATTTTGACTATGTAAATAACTTGGATCTCTGTGAGGAAGCTATCCCATCACACTGGTGACTAATATCGATAGATTTCATTGTTTTTGTATTGAATATCATGAACATTCCAATTCTCAGGCAGTAGGGCACAGACCTTGGTTTACCCACTCACTGACTTCTTGACTTATCTAGAATTATTTTTAGGACTTTGGAAACTGTCAATGGATTTGGAAGGAAAAATGAATGGATAAGTAAATGAGGAAATAAAAACAGAAAACAGAGAAACTTTGATTAGTTCAATTATCCAGCAAATGGGCTGTATTCAATTCTGACATCCATTTCTGGAATGATAAGAGGCAGCTGTGATCACATGTGGAACTCTCATGAGGTCAAACCTATTAACATTTGGAAGAAGGCAGAATCCATAAGATTCATAAACCACCCCTGCCAGCTGAAGTTATAATTGCTGGTGTGTGTGTGTGCGTGTGCGTGTGCTCTTCGGTGGCATAGTTGTACAGGGATGGTGATATAGTTGCTCTTTAGTTATCCCTGTTCCTGTAGTAACCGTCTCTGGCTCGCCAAGTTAGACTTGGATGAATCCTTGCTTTGTCTGCTGGTGCCCACCTGGAGTACAGACACTTCCTTAGATTTCCTTGGGGAAAGTAACACAGTCTTCCCCAAGTTTCCTGTGCTACCAAATTAACCTCAGCACATCAGTGTTGGAAGGTAGAATCCCTGGGGGGGGTTAATTTCATTGTGGGAATAGATCAATTATTTCTAGAGTTGGCTTGTTACATCCAGTGCTCCCTCCCTCCTTCCTTTTCTCCCTTCCCCTCCCCTCTCCCCTCTCTCCTCTTCCTCACTTTCTCATTATCTCCTTCCCTTCCTCCCTTCTTACCTTTGCACGCCAGTGCAGATGAAAGCTCTCATCAAATGCCAACCCCTTGATCTTGGACTTCCCCCACTGTGAAACTATAAAACATAGATTTCTACTCTATAAATTACCCTGCTTGTGTATTCTGCTATAGCATCCCAAGACATGCCAAGACAACGACTCCTAACTTCTTTACATCTCAGTTTTTCCAGCTGCAAAACAGGCATAGTTGATGCTGCTTAGAGCTGTTTTGAAGACTAAATAAAAATCCCAGCTACCGTGCTGGGCACAGAGGTAGGTGACCAGTTCTGGGCACAGAGGTAGGTGACTATTCTTTTTCACTTCATTTCATCCCCTTTGTCACTAACTCCACTGCCTAGCCCATGATGAAGGATGAGTAAGAGTTCACTAACATAGTTATCCACCCAGACAGTTTCTTTTACTAAAGCAGGCTGATCCATCATCAATGCACATCTTCTGAGGGCCTTCTCTGTGTCTGGCTCTCTACCTGGTATGGTAAGAAGAGCCACATGTAACTGTGAGACATACTTGAAAGACTCAAGTCTTGGAAACAAAGTACACAGATAAACGAATATATAATATAATCTGAAAAGTAGGTAGGTTACGAGAATTGGCAACCAACTAGGAATAAGAGGCATCGGGATAAGCCATGTTTGGGCAGAGAAGCACTCCCTACCTTCCATGCAGAAGAAGAAAGGACCCTTCAATGGTGGCAGCAAAGGAATCAAGGGGAAAGGCTGGAAAGGGAGGAAAGAGGGTGTAGGGATGGCAGTAAGACTCATGGGAAGGACAGGATGATGAGGGCAGGCAGTATGGAAGGATGCACGGTCTGGTGGCTGTGACTGTGTCAGAGGGCCACTTCTGGTGGTGTCAGAAGTCTCTAACACTGGTTCCCAAGTGTGATACTGACTGTAAACAGTAAGTTATGAAGAGGAATCGTGTATGGGATGGACGAGAACATAGGTGATACTGTGGGGAAGAAGAGTTCATATGGGAATGAGTCTCTAAGTGAGCTGGGTGGGGTGAGTAAGTAGAAGCTTTGGCTTAAGAGAGGGGATGTGTTTGCAGAGATCTTTAGTGGCATGGGAGAAGCAGAGCAAGTGACTGGATCACACACATCCTGGCTATTCTTCAACACCTCCTTGCCAGGCATTATCTCCTCTCATCTACACGATGGATTTTTAAAGACTGGGGGCCACTTTGAAGTTTACATAAAAATGTAGTTCCAGACCCAGGGTTACACTGCCCCTTACAGCAGAGCCTGAATTTAGAGCCCCATCCTTAAATCCTTACACTTTCCCGTTATCCAAGAGTACAAAGACCTCCATACATACTCTACTCATGACTTCTTTCGATAATTTGCCTTTTGAGACTGGGTTAGCCTTCCCTGTTAGCTTACAGAGTGAATCGGAGTCTTAGAAGAAAATCGGAACACGGAGTCAGGGAAAGAGCTTACAGAGTGAATTGGAGTCTTAGAAGAAAACCGGAACACGGAGTCAGGGAAAGAGGAGAGAGAAGGTCTTTCAGAGTGAGGAGGACGTCAGGAAAGAAGGTCATAAAAAGCGCTGTGGGAGAATGCGTCGGAGAGAGGCATGAGGAAATAGTGGCTGTACTCAGGAAAGTATGGGAGACCACACACAGACACCGAGAGAGGGCAGGAGTGAACCTGGAGCCACGCTGCCAGGCGGGGTTTTCTTCAGCAGGCAGCAACTACCAAATTAAGTCTGCCCACATCTCTCTGCTCCTGAGCAGGCGATTCCACGCTCTAAACCTGCCGACGGTGGTGCCCCGGGAGAGCAGCGGGCTTACGGGTCTGAGAGTAGGCTGGACCCGCGTTCAAAGCTCATGTCCGCACTCAGACGCCTCGGAGCACCTTCTTCCAAATAGCTGTGGGAGAGGGATATATACTTTTTAACCCCAGGCTGTTCCATTCCACCCAACACGTATCAAGGCCTGAGAAATACCAAGTAAAGGTAGAAAGAATTTGAGCCATGGTTTCCTTTATGAGGCCCAGGCTCCAGTTAGATGCTCTTGTCACTGCCGTATTAAGGAC